GTACAGCTAGTACAGGATACAAGGCGAACGCCTGCTTTGTTGCAGGTAACTTGATTAGCTGCGAATAGAGCGGCGGGAGGGGCGAATAATGAGTGGAACAGCCAGGCGCCCCTCCCTCCTCCTTGGAGAGCAAAGCCTCAAAGAGAGAGGCGGAGGAAGGCAAAGCGGTTCACTGTTTCCGATTGGCTGGCTGCTTTGCGCAGGCGCATGAGAGACGTCGAAGCCTGTCCGCCAGCCAAGTTGTGGGCGGAGTTTGGGGGGGGGTGATTTCGTCAAGGGAACCGGAGTGTTGATAGCAGCGTCGCGTCCCCCTGCTTCTTAATATCACCCCCCCCCCTCCGTAACGGCTCAGAAGTAGCTCGCTGCCCAGTCTAGCCAGGTGGAGAGTCATGCCTGTGCGCTGGAAGGTGAGATCAGGCCGCTTGCCATCGTCTTTCCCCAGCAGGAGCCCCCTCCGCATTGACACCCCCCCCCCGCTTGGGGCAATTTGGTACCGCCCGCGGTGGCTGAATCAGTTTGATAGGGAGCGCCCATTGTGTTATGCGGGGGGGGGGGGAGGATACCATTCTACGCTAGTGGCACAGGGCCCCAGAATGAATGGTATTGTAGCACGTCCTCCCTGTTTTCCTTTGAAGCTGTCAATCAGTGCGTGGGCATCCTGTAGCATCAGCTAGAATAGGAAATTGGGAAGGTTTATGGATTTGGGTGCTGGCAAAGCTGGTTTTGGCAAGGATTATCTTGCAGCTTTGACTCTCAGAGTAATATAGCAAAGCTGTTCTACATTAAGTTAGATTTGTCATTATTTGCTGTTAACTACTCAGATATTAAAATCAAGTCAAAACACAGTTTATGGTATGTTATAGTATGAGATATAGCACATTAGTCGGGCCTGTTTTTAATAACAACTCTGGAGCTGGATCTACAAAGTCATACAATCATTATATGGCAGTGCAGGCCCCTTCTACACTGCCATATAATCCAGATTATCCACATTATATTATTTGAACTCTACTTCGACATTAATATCAAGTTTATAGTATGTTATAGTATGAGATATAGTACATAAATTGGGCCTATTGTACTGTTTTAAAGTGTTTTTTGCACAACAAATAAGATAGGAATTCATTCATGCTTTTTTCAAATTATAATCCAGCCCTCCAACTGGACTGTGACCTGGCCCTCCGTTTAACAGGTTTGTGGACCCCTGAGATTACCAGTCCCCAGCTCTATATCTGTATATATATATATACTGGGTTGTTCAGGGTTTTTCGGGCCATGTTCTAGAAGCATTCTCTCCTGAAGTTTCGCCTGCATCTATGGCAAGCATTCTCAGAGGTTGTGCCATTTATTGTGCTAATGTTTGCTTTTGGGCTGCAGCAAAACAGCACCTTTGTGCCGGTGGAGTTTCTGACCTGAAGGCTGCCAGTTCAAATCTGTGAGATTGGGTGAGCTCTCATCTGTCAGCTCTAGCTTACAGGAACATTTATTTATTTATTTATTTATTTATTTATTATTCAAACTTATATGCCGCCACTCCCTGGGGCTCGGAGCAGCTACAAGAATAGGTTAAAATCTAACACAATTTAAAAACAATCTAAAACAATTTAAAAACAACAATATCAAAGAAGAAGAACATGAGAGAAGCTTCCCAGATAATACATCCGGGTTCCCCCTAGGCAATGTCTCTGTAGACAGCGAATTCTCTCACACCAGAAGCAACTTGCGGCATGTTTGTAAGTCGTTTCTGACATGATAAAACAAAAAGTTCCATACCTGCTCCCTGCTTAACCATGAAACCTATTGGATGATCTTATACAATCCTTATTCCCCCACCTGCCACCCCAGGGTGAATTTCCACCACAGAATTAATGCAATTTGACAACGCTTTTATTGCTGTGGTTCAGTGCCATGGAATTCTAGGAGTTGTAGTTTAGCATTCTTAGGCAGAGAAGACTGTGTATAACTACAACTCCCATAGCATTGAGCCATGGCAGTTAAAGTGGTGTCAAACTTTATATATATATATAAAGTTATATATTTTATATTAAATGTAATATTACTAAGGATATTACAGTACAATGTTATAGTACAATGTAATATATAATATTAATATTGTGCTATGGTAATAACGGCGCTCCATGTAGTCATGCCGGCCACATGACCTTGGAGGTGTCTACGGACAACGCTGGCTCTTCGGCTTAGAAATGGAGGTGAGCACCACACCCCAGATTCAGACATGACTGGACTTAATGTCAGGGGACTACCTTTACCTTTACCTTTACCTATGGTAATAATATAATATATTGTATTTACTTGTTACTTGTAAGCCGCTCTGAGTCCCCTATGGGATGAGAAGGGCGGCATATAAATGTCATAAATAAATAAATAAATAAATTGCAATGTAGATACTCTCTTAGAGGAAGGCAAATATCTTTTGATCAAAATCTGCCAAGGAAATCCTCTCATGGTGTTGTCGAAGGCTTTCATGGCTGGATTTGCTGGGTTGCTGTGAGTGTTCTGGGCTGTATGGCCATGTTCCAGAAGCATTCACTACTGATGTTTCACCTACATCTATGGCAGGTATCCCCACCAAGGGATTCCCCCAGGCAGGAAGCAGCCTAGCTTTGAAGTTGCAAGGCTATTCAGTGCTAATGAAGGTGAACAATTGCAATATTTACACCTGCCTCAAACAGACAGAGTTCCTCCTCCCACCCTGGATATTCCACAGATATATAAAACCCCATATAAACCCCATTTTGCCTATTTTCCAACAAATCTCACTACTTCCTATCATAGGTTTGCCATAGGTCAGAAATGACTAGAAGGCATTCAACAACTCAGTATCCTGAAAACATTTTATTTTTTCAAAAAAATGATTGTTCCTGCCCGTTTCTTTAGGACTATTTACAACTCACAAACAAAATAAATATCTGCTCTGAACCCTGAAATAATTGTTTTATAATCTTTATATTGTAAAGTTAGGTTCTGTGGGAGCTGTGTTGGAATGTGGCACTAATCTCCATGGCCTGTTTTTGTCTTGTTCTAGGGACTTAGTGAATACAAGAGAAATTTCAAATGGAGAAAACCAGATCAATCTAAGCCTTGTAGCCCTATACTTGAAGAAAAATGCCAGTGGGCTGGACTTCGGTCAGATGAATTTGGTAAGCCAAATTAGTTACATTTTTCTCTGTCTCTGTATTCTTTTTTTTTTTAAAGAAAATAGTTATTGTTATTACTGTAATTTCATATTGTTTCCTCTCACCTGTTAGTTTTCTGTATTTGTTAATATTGAGCCTTAATGTATGTGTTCAAGTGGCAGACATTTCTAAGTATATTGGTAGATTATTCTTAGCTGTGTTTCCTAAATAAGATGAGAATTTCTTGTATGAAGTTTCCCTTTTCTCATTCTTTTTAAAGATGTACTTATCAACTGCAGAGAAAGAACAGAAAGCCATGAGAGTTAGAGACCCATACAGAATTTTCAGGAAACACTGACCTAAAATTTTATATTTTACAGGAATCTCAAGAGAACCAAAGTTTATTTCCAAAAGAAGAGTGCCTTATTATAATACACAGGTTTCAAGATCCTTTGAGTGGAATGGGGGAAACGATTCGGAGAAAGATACAGCAGAACCTGAACTTCACCTGTCACTGGAGACACAGACCAGTGAGAGTGGAGATGATACAACTCAGGAAAAAATCAAAACACCTGATGCACCCAGAATGCCTGAAAAAGTGCATTCCAATTCTGCTGGTTCTAGATCTGAATTAGCAGTAGCTCTTGAAAAAAGCAAGAAGTCACCACCCATAACTCCAGTGAAAGAACAAAGGACAATAACGCCTGCCAAAAAAGATTTAGAAAAACTTAATAAAGGGGTAAGACATTCTTAAAATGATTTTGATTTTGATGATCCAGATAAAATCTTTTGGAAAAGTGTGACCTTTTATAGACCATAACCTTTTGGAAAACCAGAAAACTCCATAGCATTTTGGAAGTGTGACCCTTTTGGAGATTAATTGGCATTCACCCTCTTTGGAATAATCACAACCTTTTTTGTAAAGTATGATCCTCCTGAGAAGAGTTCAATACTCGCTTGAGTGAATGTTCTCCTTAGTGGTAAATATCCACTAGTATTCATGCAAGGCAAATTAGATTTCTCAGTTGTTAGACTGATTTACCTAGATATCTCTCTGAACGGTTAGGAACCCATGCACAAAACATACGGCAGATCTTCAGTAGTGTTATTCCAGTTGCCCCAAAACATCTAATCTCCCATAAAATATTTTGGTTTTAAACCGTGCTCTCAAAAATAGGTAGTGTTCATTAAAAGTAGCATAGTTGATATACTTACAAACTTCGTGTATTCATCATACAGGTACATTTCTTATTACTTGAGAGTTTAAACAGTTCGCTAAAGCATTCTGTTTCAATCTCTGTTTTATACAGACTAACAGTCTCTTCAGTCTAATACATTACTGAACATTGACTCAATAAAGACTGGCAACACACTGCAGCATACTGACACTACCTATTTCTAAACTGTACTGCTTCTGATGCAAACTCTGACTTTCAAGTTGGAGTCTCAGTCTGAATAGTCCCAGATCTGCTCACATGGTCTGTAATCTCTTCCACAACCTCAAACAACATAGAGTTAAGGGAAAATTGCATACTGAATAAATACATACAATATAGTAAGTAATCTCAATTAAATACATAATAAATAACTAGTATAGGAGGCTTGTAGAAGGTTGCTATTTCAATAAACAAAAACAAAAAACAACCCCAGATCTTATAATATTAGTGAAAGTGTTTTTACTATCTGTATTATAATGCATTAAGGGAGCTTTGATTTTGAAGGCCATGGGAGTCATTTGGCCCTCTTTCTGCAATGGAGCTAGACTACCATTAGCTGTTACTTTCATTAACAGGCTACAAAAAAGTGTTTTTGATAATATTAAGCCCTTGATCTATTATTAAGTCACCGGTATATGATAAGATGCAACATGCTCATGAATTTGTTATCAATATCTGTTGAAAGCTCCACAGAGTTCTGCAGAAGAAAGCAGGATTGGATATTCCAAGGTCATGTAGCTTCCCCAGAAGTTCTGAGTATCAGCGGCAGTTTGTTTGGAAAACTCCTCAAAAGTTGTCTCCAATACTTGCAGCAGACAAGGTAACCTTCAGGAGAACCAAAAATAGTTCCTATTTTTTACAAAAAGAAAAGAATTTTTCCTATGCATGCTTGTTTAAAGAAGAAGCTTATCTCATACATGTTTATGTAAAAATAATCTTGATTGTGTTCAGTGAACCTTTTCTCTATACGTTTGAGTAGGAATATCTGTACAATTGCAATCTTGTATTGCTTTTCTAGGAAGCAACTAAATGTGTCTAGTGGGGGTGTAATAACTGCACAATTGATACAAATGTTAGAATAAACAAAATGTTATACTTTGTTGTTGTTTATTCGTTCAGTCGCTTTCAACTGTTTGTGACCTTATGGACCAGCCCATGCCAGAGCTCCCTGTTGGCTATCACCATCCCCAGCTCCTTCAAGGTCAAGCCAGTCACTTCAAGGATACCATCCATCCATCTATCTTGCCCTTGGTCGGCCCCTCTTCTTTTTTCCTTTCACTTTCCCCAACATCATTATCTTCTCCAAGCTTCCCAGTCTTCTCATTATGTGGTCAAAGTACTTCATCTTTCCCTCCATCTCTCCAGTGAGCAACCAGGCATTATTTCCTGGCACTCTCAGAATTTTCCTCCAACATGACAGTTCAAAAAAAGCATCTGTTGTCCTTCGCTCAGCCTTCCTTATGGCCCTGCTCTCGCATTCATAGGTTACCATGGGTAATACCACTGCTTTGACTATACAGATCTTCGTTGCCAGGGTGATCTCTCTACTCTTCACTATTTTATGAAGACTGGTCATTGCTCTTCTCCCAAGAATTAAGTGTCTTCTGATTTCCTGGCTGCAGTCTGCGTCTGCAATAATCTTCGTGCCTAGAAATACAAAGTCTGTCACTGCCTCCACGTTTTCTCCCTCTATTTGGCACTTATCAATCAGTCTGGCATATAATGTTATACTGGTAATTGTCAAATAAATACTTTATTGTTCTGTTCAAGTTTTTTACAACTTGTAATCCAAAGAGGTAGAATTTATAGTTATGGAACATGGCTTATATTTACTCTATTGCATCAGTCCGATATTATCTGTGTTTTTTAAAAGCAGTGGACACTGTTGCAAGCTACATAACAGACTTAAGCATTAAACCTCACTGATTTCAGTGGAAGACCTAATTTAAAAACCACTATATTAATATGTACATTTTCCAAATTTAAGTTTATTCACAGTGCAAGTCCTTCCATTCCTCCCTTTAAAATTCCTGTCACTATTCCTGAAACTGAATATGAAAGGAGTTTCAAAGCTTCATCACCTGCAAAAGAAGACAAGCAGCAAGACTCTTTGGAAGAGAGGGAACGTCCTGCCTCCCAACCTGTAGAAGCCTCCTCTGGAGAAAAGGTATCATTGCATTGCGCTTAAAGGTTTGTTTACTTTGGTGAAGATCAATATCTAATTGAAATGTGGTTAGTTGGAAAAAACTAATAAGGGCTTACTGTCATTTTATCTCAGTGTGAGAAGACAGAAGCATTTTCAAAGGCCACAGAAGAGCCATCAAAGCAAAGCAAATCAGAAACAAAGCCAAAACAGCCGAAGCAAAAACACAAGCCTCTCTGTTTACACAGAAGCTTTAGGTAATTTCAGTATATTTTAGAATTCATGTTGCATTCAGTCATTACCTTGTTTTGAAATTGTATATATAAATTTATGTCCATTGCTGAAGGTCATTTGTACCTTAGTTATACTTACTTGGGATAAAACTAAGTTTGGAAAAATGTATGGTCGAAGGCTTTCATGGCTAGAATCACTGGTTGTAGTGAGTTTTCTGGGCTATATGGTCATGTTTCAGAAGCATTCTCCCCTGACGTTTCGCCTTCATCTATGGCAAGCATCCTCAGAGGTTGTGAGGTCTGATGAAAAATAGGAAAATGGGGTTTATATATCTGTGGAATGTCCAGGGTGGGAGAAAGAACTCTTTTCTGTTCAAGGTAGGTATGAATGTTTCAACTGGCCACCTTGATTAGCATTTAATGGCCCCGCAGTTTCAAGGTCTGGCTTCTTACTGCCTGGGGGAATCCTGAATTACGTTGTACAGTAAACATGAACTAAATATTGCTAGGTTGTTGTAGGTTTTTTCAGGCTATATGACCATGTTCAAGAGACATTCTCTCCTGACGTTTCGCCTGCATCTATGGCAAGCGTCCTCACTACCTCTGAGGATATTTGCCATAGATGCAGGCGAAACATCAGGAGAGAATGTCTCTAGAACATGGCCATATAGCCCGAAAAATAACCTACAACAACCCAGTGATTCTGGCCATGAAAGCCTTCAACAATACATTAAATATTGCTAGTTTTGTATTTGGATTAATAAAGTACTTTAATAAAGGTGAGTACATCTCAGAAAGTACTGATTACTTGTTTGTTCTGTGGCTTGAATTCAAGGCCTGCATTCGTTGAAGGGGCTTACAGACTGGATGATGTGACCTTGTTGGGGTTGAGATCTGTCTTTTTTTTCAAAAAGAGGTTATTTCCTATTCATAATGTATACACACTTTTTCGCTATGTTTTCCCCACCATTTTGCTTGAATGTATATCTTACATGATCAGAAAAATTATTTAGGATGTGATTGACGGCCAAAGCACTGATGAAAGAAATCTAGGATAATGGCAAAGCAGTATTTGTCTCCCTCCTCAACCATCTTTCTTTTCCTAGAAAACTGAACACAGAATACAGATCAAATTTCTTGTCTCCGTCAAAATACTTGTATAAAAATGGAGCTTGGATACGTATCAGGAAAAATATGCCTGACCAGGTGAGTAAGTTTTTAATTGCTTCCAGCAATACTTATTTGAAAGTTCTAAAGTTATACTCTCTTTCTTTGTTATCTTTCTTGGAATTGCACTCTTCACTCTTGTGCTTGTCAAAGGTGATTCAGCCTATCATTGCTAAAATATTTGCTTCAGCATCCTTTACCAAAGTGCCTTTGTTGCATACTTTTGAATTTCATAGAGCTAAAATCTCATAATGTACAATAGTGGTGTATTTTTAATGGAGTATCTCAACTTTTTTGAGAACAAGGAAATTTGTAAACATTCTTTAATCAATGCGCTTTCATGACCGGAATCATTGGGTTGCTGCGAGTTTTCCAGGCTGTATAGCCATGTACCAGAAGCATTCTCTCCTGATGTTTCACCTACATCTATGGCAGGCATCCTCAGAGGTTGTGAGGTCTGTTGGAAATGAATCAAGGGAGGTTTATATGTCTATGGAATGTCCAGGGTGGGAGAAAGAACTCTTGTCTGTTGGAGGCAAGTGTGAATGTTGCAATTAAGCACTTTGATTAGCATTGCAAAGCCTTGCAGCTTCAAGATCTGGCTGATTCCTGCCTGGGGGAATACTTTGTTGGAAGGTGTTAGCTGGCCCTGATTGTTTCATGTCTAGAATTCTCTTGTTTTCAGAGTGTTGTTCTTTATTTACTGTCCTAATTTTAGCCAGATTTTGTTCATTTTCGTGCTTTCCTCCTTTCTGTTGAAATTGTCCACATGTTTGTGGATTTCAATGGCTGCTCTGCATAGTCTGACATGGTGGTTGTTAGAGTGGTCCAGCATTTCTGTGTTCTCAAATAATATGCTGTGTCCAGGTTGGTTCATCAGGTGTTCTGCTATGGCTGACTTCTCTGGTTGAATTAGCCTGCAGTGCCTTTCATGTTCCTTGATTCATGTTTGGGCAATGCTGCATTTGGTGGTCCCTGTATAGACTTGTCCACAGCTGCATAGTAAACAGTAGACTCCTGCAGATGTGGGTGAATCAGCACCCCAAGTAACCTCAGGAACAGACCTAAAAATGAAGACACCAAGCCACCCCCACTTCCAGGCACTACATGGAACGGCTCCGCTTAGGGGGAGGGAAGAGTAGGAGAAGCAGCAGTCAGGATCATAGAATCATAGAATCATAGAATCAAAGAGTTGGAAGAGACCTCATGGGCCATCCAGTCCAACCCCCTGCCAAGAAGCAGGAATATTGCATTCAAATCACCCCTGACAGATGGCCATCCAGCCTCTGTTTAAAAGCTTCCAAAGAAGGAGCCTCCACCACACCCGGGGCAGAGAGTTCCACTGCTGAACGGCTCTCACAGTCAGGAAGTTCTTCCTCGTGTTCAGATGGAATCTCCTCTCTTGTAGTTTGAAGCCATTGTTCCGCGTCCTAGTCTTCAGGAAGCAGAAAACAAGCTTGCTCCCTCCTCCCTGTGGCTTCCTCTCACATATTTATACATGGCTATCATATCTCCTCTCAGCCTTCTCTTCTTCAGGCTAAACATGCCCAGCTCCTTAAGCCGCTCCTCATAGGGCTTGTTCTCCATACCCTTTATCATTTTAGGTTTGTTGTTGCTCCTTTCATGGGCAGTCAGCCTCTTCCCTCCCAACATCCCCGTTGCTTTGACATAAGAGGTTTTCGCGAGACCAGTAGCTCTCGTTGCAATGGTGTTGTAATGGTGAGGCTGCGGATCATATTTTAGTTCTTGGGGACCACTGGTGGTCCATGGACCACAGGTTGGGAACCACTGATTAAGGTTGATGAATATGCCTGTCATTTGTACTTGGATTCAAAATTCATAGGCGTTGTGAAATATTTTATGATATCAAAATATGGTATTAGCTATAGGTAAAATCCATTGTGTCTCTATATTGATTATGAGGAAAACATGTTTTTTTAAATAATTTAATTTGTAAATAATTTTAAATTGTTTACTAACAATAGTACATAGCTTTCAGTAGTCCAGAGGCTAGTCCTATGAACATTATTATCATTCTATAAAAACTGAGAATTGGTAGTTTAATTTTTGCCTGCTGTATACAAAATGTATATGGAAGAACATTATTCTTCAAATGTCCCCATGTATTGAAGTAAGAGTGTTGATTAAGGGGACTTAGAAAAAACCTAAAGGAGAATAAATTATGTTTTTGTAGTGCGATCTCTAGGAGATAAGATAGCAGCAGAATTCCAATGGAATGAATGTGATTATTTTATGCTCTGGTTTAATCAAGTTTAGTAACATTATTAATAAAAAAGTAAATATTGTTTATTTCTGTGTCCTCTCCTTAGGAGTCTCAAAACACTCTAAATACCATGTGGTATATGGAGGTTGGTCACATCTCAATTCTTCCTATTTGGAGCAATTACAGAATTTATGAGCCTTCAAAAAGAAATGCAATGTAGTGCTAAGCAGATGCATAGCCACTGTCTTTTTTGTGCTCCTTGAATAATTCATTTGCAGCTGTGCTTTGTAATAAGTGTTCAAAATGCATGCTTGCTTTAAAAAAATAGTAAAAAATGTTATTTGTACTTGATTTTCCCATGCCTTCATAGTATTAGTGCTGTGACTGGTCATGCATTCATTGTGACACACTGCTTTGCACTTTTAATTGTGGCTGCTGACTAATATTTTGTAAATATTATCAGTGAAAAGGGATGAAAACTCAGTGAAAACTCTGTGAAACTTTCATACGCAGGTGAAAGAACTTCGCGAAAAAGCAGAGGCATACAGGCAAAGAGTACGAGGAACTCATTTCTCCAGAGATCACTTGAATCAGATTTTATCAGAGAACAACAGGCTTTGGGATCTGTCCTCCAATTCCAGTGCAGAAGATGTCATTAGCAACAATGTCAGAGCTCTAGATCTTGCAGGGTAAGGATCTGTATGGAAGGAACAAAGGTGCAGCCTGATGGTTCTAGAAGTGAAACATTTATTGTTCTAGTTCAGGGGTCCTCATACTAAGGCCTGGGCGTCGGATACAGCCCTCCAAGGTCATTTACCCGGCCCTTGCTCAGGGTCAACCTAAGTCTGAAACGATTTGAAAGCACAAAACAACAACAATCCTATCTCATCAGCCAAAAGCAGGCCCACACTTCCCATTGAAATACTAAGAAGTTTATATTTGTTAAAATTGTTCTTCATTTTAATTATTGTATTGTTTTAAGTGTTTTTTACATTACAAATAAGATATATGCAGTGTACATAGGAATTCATTCATGTTTTTTTCACATTATAATCCGGCCCTCCAACAGTTTGAGGGACTGTGACCTGGCCCTCTGTTTATAAAGTTTGAGATGCGTTTGGATAGGTAAGCTGGACTGGAACTATTTAGGGATTTATAGGCTAAAGCCAGCACTTCCACTCGGTAGTAGACTGGCAGCCAGTGGAGTTGACGCAACAGGGTGGTTGTAAGTATTGACAGAGTTGGACGCTATTCTTCTGGATATATTAAAATAATGGTACTTAATGCAGTATTTTTGCTTTCTCTTTATGAAGGGTCCCTGAGAAAAAGCTTTCTCCAGGTCCCAAGTTCATGCCACAACCGGAGTCGTCTGCAGAGTTCCAGGAGAATGGCACTGAGAAATTAGGCATGTCAGATGCGGCCACTCTTCCAGTCAAGCGCCGTCTGGTTTGGGGTGAACCAGACGATGGCGAACAACTGGAACATCAGACACCAGTGTTAGGAGGAGAAGAAAACGATGAAGAAAAAGAAAACAAGCAGGAATCGGAAGACATTAAAGTACCAGATAAAAACTCAACCGGAAATAATCACCAGGGGTAAATATATAAAAAGTCTTTTTCTTTTCTAACCCACGCAGCCATAAAGTTACAGATATTATGTGCAATGTCTATTAAGTAGGACAATGCGGGTTCCGCTGCGTAACGGAGAAATATAATCAATTGGCATGAGTGAAGTTGAAGCTTAATACGTCACATAAAGGTAGAACTGTATATTACTAATTAGCCACAACAGAAATTTCAGACAGATATATTCATTCAGAAACTGCCAGTTGCCTCTACTTTCCAACCCCAATTCTTCAGGCATATGTAAACTACAGCTCTTGATCTGGATGCAGTCATGAACAAGTAGCTGTCTGTTGCTAGTCAAACAAAACGTGCCAGTGATTGGTGTGGGGAGGCGTAATGCGTGGGCATAATGCTTGTTCATGTAATAATAATAATAACAGTAATAACAATCATGATATAATTTTATTTGTTACCCAACTCTTCCCATGGCTCTAGGTGGGGTACAACACAGAACCATAAAATGCATACATTAAAGCACACTATCACAAAACACAGTAAATTAAAATACATAGTGCAAGGATTAGAATACAAATACATGTAGTAAACTATGAACAGAATGTTAATTTAAAATGTAGTGTCAGAATAGGCAGTCCACAGCCCTCTTATTGTTTTCCACTGCAGGTTCGATCACACTCAGTGAAGGATTAAGCAGTTATGAAAGTGGCATTGTAAAAAAAGTCATAAAACATCACATTACCTAACACCAGTGTAAGGTTATGCTGTGTTTTGATCTTTTCACAAGAACCAGCACTGTATGGTATTTGAATGAATATGGGCATAAATCCAGCTTTTTTTGTCAGCTAAAGGAAACCCATCAAAATCAGTAAATCAGTTTTTATGTGAGATCTACTGGTTCAGTGTGTCTAGTCTAATAGCTTGGTTTAGCCTGCAGTATCATTCTGCTTTAGCCTGCAGAATGAATAATCTTCCTGTTGTGTACCATTACTGAAATAAATGTATGTTTGACTTTTCCGAATTTTTTACACTTATAAGCTTGGCTAAAAACCACTTTCCATGTAAGATCTCTGAAATGGTAATAAGTTTTTGAATTATAAAAATAATGAGATAGGGTTTTGAGATGTGCCTGGTGAAATGCTTCAAAACATATTTAATATTGAATTCATTGTGTTGCATGAGGAGGAGGAGTTGGCACTAGCTTTGATTCCATATACTAAATGGCACACACAAATGAATGATAATACTACGATAGGAAATATTTTGAATAAAACCGCCTTGAGTCGCCTTCGGGCTGAGAAGGGCAGTATACAAATACCATAAATAAATAAATAAAACAGGAACAGGAGATTTGAAAGATAACCAATATTATTGGAGGCTGAACTCTTACATTACAAACATATACAATTGGCCCTATGTCATTGGGTTGTAATGGTAAAGGAGAGAAAACCATTTTCAAGTTTGTAGGGTTCATAAAAATTGCTGAATGACAGTTTTAATAGTTTAGTTGGAATATGAAAACTGATTCTGTCTCTTAAAATTCTATTATTTCTGTGTTTGGTTAGATGACGACGAATGACGAACAACGAATTTATTATGACGACTGACCATTGTTATTATGTGATTGCATTTTGCTGTTTTAACGTTTTAATGTGAATATGTTATATGATGTTTTTAATGATTGTTTTGTGATATTATTGTTGGAAACTGGCCTGAGTCCCCCGATGGAGGGGAGAAGATCGGTATACAAAATTGCTAAATAAATAAATAAATAAATATTAAAATTCCAAAATAGTCCCCACACAACAGTTTTGGAAACAAAAACATCACAATTCTATATTGCTTGATAACATTTTCAGAAGTATTTTGTGATGTTCAACTTCTTACTGTGGGGCAGTTGTTAATATATTGTGGAGGTGTAGTTAAGTTGTCAGGATTATTAATAATTGATAATTATGGTTCATTATAGGGTACTTTTTAAACAGTGTATATTTTTGTATGTTGTGTCATATTTTTTCAGAGAAAATGTAAATTCTCCAAGTGTTAATAGAGCAGACTGTTCTTCAGCCCCCTGTAGAGGCAGACTTTCTACTCCAGAGCTGAAAGCACTTGGTGGAGCCCAAAGAACACATCTTGACCTGACAACACCAGCTACTGGTAAATTTATTTCAATTTATTTCAAAATAAATCTCAAAAAAAGAACAAAAAAATGATTACAACTTGGAAATTTAGCCTAAACAGATTATGTGTTATATTCTCATTTAGGAGGTGCAGTTTTAGTATCTCCTCCAAAAGTGAGGCCTTCATCCACTAAGCAAATGAGAAAAGGATCTCCAGAGAAGATCTTGGCAAATAGTCAGACTTCAAGGGAAGACATAAAAAGAAAATCTAACATGGTAAGAGAGAACATAGTGCAGAGAACTTCAAATTTTCAAAATTCAAATTATTTTAAACTTCTGTATTTTTAAATTTACAGCATGAAAATAGATAATTTTCTACTGTAATGTGTAAGTGAGATATAATGTCATAAAATTATGGTCTGGAAGAAATTATAATTTTATCAAATAGCAAATGGCACAGTAGTAACTCTTGAGAAATCATGGATGGCTATAATAGTGTTCTTTAGAGTAGCTTTCTAACTCTTGTACTATAGAATTTGGTGTACCATATAGTGGAATGGTAAAGAAATTGTGTACACGTGAATGAGAAATCTGCATTCTCATATCTGTATTGGATATATTGCTATCCAGAAGTTTATAGAAATATACAAAATATAAAGAAAAAAAATAAAGATTTTTAAAAATAATGGGCCAGATAGGGTGTTTCCTTAACCTTGTTGCTGAAACTAAGGCTTCCTTGAAGGGGAAAAAAGGAAAGGGTCCCCAGGAATGGAAAGGGGAGCCTCATAAGTTCCCCACTGCTGTCAGTAAGTTGGATACCGAAAAAGGCTATCTGGCTACCTGCTTTTTTTGGTAGGCACGCAAAAACAAATATGGGGGAGGGGGGGTCTTCAGGAATCCGGCCAGTAGAAACGAATCGAGGTTCAGCTGAAATGCACAAGCCTAATACACATAAGTTTCAGAATAACCATATATGTTTTTGTCTTGCATTATACAGAATCACTTGCAGGTTTTGTGGAGTATGTTATCAAGAAACCAATTGCCATGAGTTGCTTCAGAGTAGATCGATAGTATTGTGTGTGTTAGATAATCATTTATGAGCCCCAAGTCAAGGGGAAAGAAAAGCAAATAATTTTTTTGGTGTCTTGGTTTTTATGCCTGTTTCTGGTGTTGATTGGGACAGTGTTTCAGAAAAAGCATTGGATAGACCACATCAGCTCTAGTTTCTTCAATATGGTTATCATGATTTTCACTTGAAATAAAGTGCAGTATGATCTGACATGATGCCAAGAGTGTGAATGTGTATTATTGTTCAATGTATTGTCGAAGGCTTTCATGGCTGGAATCACTAGGTTCTTGTGGGTTTTTTCGGGCTATAGGGCCATGTTCTAGAGGCATTTCTCCTGACGTTTCGCCTGCATCTATGGCAAGCATCCTCACTACCTCTGAGGATGCTTGCCATAGATACAGGCGAAACGTCAGGAGAAATGCCTCTAGAACATGGCCCTATAGCCCGAAAAAACCCACAAGAACCTTGTATTATTGTTGTTTTAAATTGTTATTTTATGATGTTTTATACTTATTATCGATGTATTTGGATTGTTGTTTACATGATTTAAATATGTTGTAAGCTGCTTTGGGTCCTGTGAGGGAAAAAAGCGGGATATAAATAAAGACATCATCATCATTATTGGCAAGTAGAGTGAAGATGGGTACATGGGATGCATCTCAAAAGTAGAGCTGATAGGGGAAAACAGGTGCTATTTTTGGAATCAGCAGGTCAGATATACCCAGAAATTGGGCTAATATTTGAGGCATCAAAATGTGTGTTGGCTAGTGATACAATTAATTGTTTCCCTTTTTACATTTGAAAAGCTAGTTTGGAGGTAGTCATGAGTAGAAGCCATAATTGTGATGTGATATTCTGTCCTCTGCAAAGGACCTATAGAGTGTTTTGGGAGGGAACAGAGTATTTGCACTACTTAGAATCATACTGTACAGACTGGCAGCTCCTTTTCCGCTTGACATTCGCAGGACAGAAGTGAAGCTGTAACACCAAGTCATTTACCTGCTGCTGGGCTGAAAACTGTGGATCATTTGCCTGTGGAGAAATACCCGTGGCCCAAGCAAAAGGCTTCTAGCGCAAGAGTCTCTTCAAATGTATCGTGTTCGGAGCAGGCGCCTGTTGTCCCTGGTGCCAAATCAGCCAGGGACCCTGTTTTGTCATATTGGAGCCCATCACGCCGCATTCAAGGAACTCTCAGGGACCCAGAATTTCAACATAATGGTTGGTTTGCTCTATACCACCTTCATTTTTTTTTAAAAAAATGTATACATGTTTAAAATTACTTTTACTCTTCTGGGTAACAAATGAGAGTTTTGTTTTGTACTATGAATAGACAATATAATATCTCTTTAATTCCACAATATGGATCAAAATTAGCCAAACCCCCCCCCCCCCCAAAAAAAGAAAAAAATATTTGCTTTTTAAGATAAAAAAGGGAGTAATAAATTCTGAATCTATAACTAAATTGTTCTTCAATATACAATTGACAGGTTTTTTTAATAGATGGTCTGGCTCAAGATAATATATATAATTTGAGTATTCATGTAGCCTATATAAATATTGAGATAATGAAAGAAATTCATCTAGGGCACATATGTTAAATGCAAGGCCCATGGGCTGAATCTGGCCCTCTATGCAATTTTTTGTGACCCTCCAGATGTTGGACTACAACTGTATTCCTCATTAGACATCATGACTAGAGTTGATGGGAGTTGTGATAAAGTAATATCTGGAAGGCTGCAATTTGTTCTGTTTAGTCAGGAGAGTGGGGTTTTAATTGGGCATAGGATGTCTTACTTTACAATGTCCTTTAACTTTTCCTCAACCTCGGAGCCACAAGTGCTATTGAGTTGCAATTCCCATTATCCCCAGTCTGCATGGCAGTAACAACTGTCCTTCAGTAACAACTGAGGACCCAAACTGGTTAAAAACTAAAAGAGCACCAACCACGATATATATAAAAAAATGGCCCTCCATATTCATGGATTCTCTGTTTATGGATTTAATGGCCCTTTGAAGGCAACCATAAAGTTGATGTGGCCCTCGATGAAAATTAGTTTGACACTCCTGATCTAGGGAGACTGCTTTCTGGATAATGGCTGTAAATTAGTATGTTGGCTATTCTGCCCTTAATCAAGATGTGTCAACTAGAAGACTATCAATCAATCAGTGAAACTTTTGTAGAGTTCCTATTGATTTAAAGGGTATATTAAAAAGGAACCCCCGGTGGCGCAGTGCGTTAAACCCCTGTACCGGCAGGACTGAAGACCGACAGGTTGCAGGTTTGAATCTGGGGAGAGGCGGATGAGCTCCCTCTATCAGCTCCGGGCGTCCCCTGGGCAACGGCTTTGCAGACGGCCAATTCTCTCACACCAGAAGCGACTTGCAGTTTCTTAGGTCACTCCTGATACGACCAAAAAAAAAAAGAAAAAAAAGGGGTATATTCCAATTAGGACCAACAGAGGACTTTAGTCCTCTGTGAATTCAAAGTTAAAAGCCTAGATTGTTTTTGTGGACTAGTTAAATGACTCTTGTCTATGTTGTTTCTTTTAGGAAATGTTGCAAGCCCAAAAAGGAGCTGGTTGCAATTACCACTTCAGGAGAGAAACTATCACAATGAAGGTATTTTCCCCCTCTTTTCCAGTCTTACCAGTTCATCACACTAGAGAAAAAAATCCACTTAAAATCCGGTTGCTGCTCCTGCAGAATTCTGGGGTTTGTAGTTTAGTGAGGCTGTTAAATGCTCCTCCCTAAGCTACAAGCTTCAGAATTCTACAGGAGGCGGAAAATGGATTTTAAATGGATTTCTTCTCTAGTGTGTTGAGATTAAATGATTTGCTTCAGATGCAATTTAAATAGTAGTAATATTTCATATTTCACTGTCTCTCAGTGGGATATTCAAAAGCAGTTGTAAAAATGAACACATTATACCTAATCATGCTAACAAAAACATTGTACTAATATTTTGAGAATACTTCCTTTATGTATTTGCTAGTTAAAACCAAAGGATTGCATAGTATCTTGTAAAGATTTGACAGATATATGCATTTAGAATACCGTAATTGAATCCTAGAGTTGGAAGAGACCACAAGGGCCATCCAATATAACCCCCTGTTATACAGGAAAAGCACAATCAAAGCACTCCTGACAGATGGCCATCCAGCATCTGTTTAAAAGCCTCCAAAGAAGGCATCCCACCACACTCTGAAGCAGAGAGCTCCACTGTTGAACAGCTCTTATGGTCAGGTGGGATAAGAAACAAACACACCAACAAAACAAACTCCTACATAGACATACATACACAAACTCTGCTAAAAATGAAAAAAACAGACACTGGTCCAGTTCTATGAATCTCAGACTCACAATTTCTTGGTTTTATGCCTTATTATTCTATTCCCTTTAAATGGTTATGTTTACGTAGTTATATTCAATATGATATATGGGAAGACAGAATGTGGACAGATTGTTTGGTGTGGAGGGATGGATGCAGAAAAATGAATTTCAAATAATAAAAAAGAAGTAAGATCCAAAGTTGTTTTCTGCCATAGGTTTAGAAAGAACAAAAAGTAATGGTCTAAATATTAGCCCTATATGTTACTGTGAGAGACCATGAGAGTCGAAAATTGTAGATGATTAAAGCTTAGATTTGGTGTTTCTTTCCTTTAGCTGTGTTTGAGTATAAAGCTAGCTACATCACAGAGGGGCAATCTGTTGTCTGTAGATCACACACAGCCCTCAGCCATTCTGCATGTGACCTGAGGTGCCTCCTTCCTGTTTTCTCCAGCTGATCAGTCACTAGTTGGGAAGTATGGATAATAGGCCTGGGTAACAACGGAAAAATTTGTTTCTAAAATCGATTCGTTTTTTGGGTTTTTTTGCGTTTCGATATTTAAAAGATTTCCGAAATTTTCCTTTTAATTAGTTCGATATTTATGAAATTTCGTTATTATTAACAAATCGATTCGTTAAGATGGCGAACCCCCACGCCAAAGGGGTTTTTTTCTTTTTTTTTGAATATTTTTTGAATATTTTTTAAGAAAAGAAATATTTAGCAGAAAAAGTTTAAAAATAGAAAATTAACAAAATGCTTGCCCTGTAGTGGGGCAAAAACAGCCACAACAACTGGGTGAAACAGGGACAAACAAACACACACACAGGCAGAGCAGCAAGCAATGTCTCCCCGCTGCTCCCAGCTCCTTAAACCGCCCTCGCTCTCCTGAGTCCCAACACACAGCAATGAATGAATGCAAGCAAGCAAGCCTCCCACACTAAAACAGCCACAACAACTGGGTGAAACAGGGACAAACAAACACACACACAGGCAGAGCAGCAAGCAATGCCTCCCCGCTGCTCCCAGCTCCTTAAACCGCCCTCGCTCTCCCGAGTCCCAACACACAGCAATGAATGAATGCAAGCAAGCAAGCAAGCCTCCCACACCAAAACAGCCACAACAACGAAGACAAACACACACACACAAGAGCAGCAAGCAAGCAATGCCTCCTGCTCCCACCCTCCTCGCTCTCCCTAGTCCCGACTCCCAACAGCAGCCAGCCAGCAACGCTTTAAAGCCTCCCGCACCTCCCGGCTCCTCGCCTCAGCCCAGACTGAGCAATGCGGCCACGTGGAGCCGCTTTTAAAGGGCAGCCCGCCCAATCAGAATGAGACACGGTGCTTGGGAGCGCCGGATTGGCTCCCGGCGCACCCAGCATCTTCCATCCTTAAACGTCATTTCCGAAACGGGCGGAAGCTCGTAAAAAAGATGGAGGATGCCGTTTCGGTATTGAAAAACACTTCTAGGTTTGAAAATATATTTCAATATCATTTTGTAAATGAAAAAAATAACGAATAATTAACGAATTACAAAATTAACGAACGAAACCGCCCAGCCCTAATGGATAAGGTCACTGTACTGGTGGGAATGGGGTGAGCACCCATCTGCCAGCTCCAGCTTCTCATGCGGGGACATGAGAGAAGCCTCCCACAGGATGGTAAAACATTCAGGCGTCCTCTGGATAATGTCCTTGCAGACAGCCAATTCTTTCACATCAGAAGCAACTTGCAGTTTCTCAAGTTGCTCCTGACACAAAGAAAATAAAACGGTACTGGTACAGTTGTTAGCAGTAGTGAAATCGAGAATTCATGATTGGAACTTTAACCAAACACAACTCCAAGCCTAGTACAGGCAAGATTACTGGTTAAGTAGAGAGGCTTTCGTCTTATTCTTTCCACAAATCCCAGAATGTTCCCTGTGGGCCAATAATCCTTGTGAGTGCGTTCTGTGGCAGAAGGAAACCTTAAATTCAGCTCAGTGGTCCCTGAGGGCATCAATACTCTGGTCTCATTCACCACTGTCCCATTCTCTGCTGACTCTGACCATTCATGCAGCTCCCAGTGGTTTTTAGAGGCACCAGTGCAGTCATCCCTGTTCTAAACCATGGGTTTGGTGTTATGTGAATACATTAGAGAGCCTTGGGCTTGAATAACCTGCTCCTCAAATATGGTCAAAATTTGTGCATTTTAACAGTGTGGAATTATGTGAATTGCATGTAAACATTGCTATTAAATTCAACAATTAGGCTCCCAGGACTACTATGGCGTAGACTGAGAAGGGGAAAGTTGAGCAATCTTTTCCAAGTCAGTGCAAGTGTGTACAAAAATAGTGACCACGTAGCAATTATTGCAAACTTCTGAAACAGATCAGGTTGTATAGGAGGCATGGTGGCCCCATTAATTTCTTAGGGTTTTCTTCACAGGTAATTTTGCCAAATCATTTCTCTGAAACATAGCCTACAGCACCTGGTAGTCAGTGAAAGTCTCCCATTCAAGTACTAACCAGGGTTGAACCTGGTTAGCTTCCAGATACAGATGTGTTTATTTGGACCTGCATTGATCCAGATTCTATAAATGAATTAAAAAAAACCTGGCCAAACCATCTCTGATTCCTGGCAATGAGTGAGAGTCCCCAAGACAACTTGAAGGCATTGTTTATATCCTGCATAGGTAAACTTCCATCCTCCAGGTGTTTTGGACATCAACTCCCACAACAGTCCAAAACACCTGGAGGGCTGAAGTTTGCTCATACCTGCTGTATAGTGTGTGGGCAGTGCAAATTTCTTAGTAAAGCCATGGTTACAGAAATGATTTGAAATTCCAATTTCTTCAGTCTCGTCCTACTTCTTGAAACCAGAGATCAGTCATTATTATTATAATCATATCATAACTATTGATGGTTTCAATTTTTGAAAAAATGTATTATCCATTGTTTTAACTGTAATTTGTGATAGTTCATGTTTTGAGTCACTTTGGGTTTCACATTGGGAGAAAAGCAGGATATTAAATACACGATTGCTGTATTACTAAAGTAGGGAAAACGTTGCGGGCAACGAGGGAGAAAAAGGTTCTGAGTTTTCACCGAATGATGCCAGCTTAGAATACATTATTTTCCTGTTTGAGATTTCAGTGGTGAGCCTTGACATCTCTCTGGGTGCATATCTGCCCCCCCCCCCCCCCCCCCCCCCCCCCGGCAAGCTTGTCATTTTTATTCCAAATCCACTGTATATTCTTTAAAGTATTTACCAAAGTATACCTCTCTGGATTCCTGCTGTAGTTAGCTGCACTCCACGTGCCAGCACTTTTCGCCATTCAGAATTCCCTGCAGGTCCATCCCTTCTTAAGGAAAATGTTCCTTGCAATATCATAGTGCTTGTTATTCTCTTTCTAGAATAAATATTCTTCCACTTTTCAATTTCTGTGTTTATAAATTGTTATTAAAGTACATTGGGACACACAGCCCAGAAAGTGACTGGAAACACGTGCCTCATGAATATAGTGAATCCCTTGAAAATATTCTTTAAATTCTAGCTTCAGCATCCTTGTTCTGTCTTAACTAAATTTCCAATGTAGAAAATATTACACATTACTGCATCTCAAAGCATCTTTCGTTTATATTTTGTATTACTAGTAATGCAGCTCATGGAGTTGTTTTTTTTAAACTTTTACAGATGATGATGACCGTTTGTCTCAGCTGTCTGCTCGATCCGCTGCATCTAGTTCTCTTGCATCTCAGGTTTTAGAACGAGCTCAGAGGAGGAAAGAGAACTTTTGGGGCAAAATGTGATTCTGTTCTGCTGTCTTTGTCAAGTATTTTATACAGGTTGAGTATCCCTTGCTTGGGACCAGAAGTGTTTTGGATTTGTTTTATTTTATTTTTTGGATTTTGGAATCTTATATACATAATGAGGTATTGTGGAGATGGGACCCAAGTCTAAATACAAGATTTCATTTGTTTCATATACACTTTATACACAATATTTTAATAATGTTTTCATGAAACAAAGTTTGTATATATAGAGCCATCAGAAAACAAAGAAACTTGAATGGCCATTTATGTGGACAGTTTTGGATTTTGGAGCATTTTTGGATTTTTGGGTAAGGTATACTCAACCTGTGCTTGTTTGAATACAAATTTTGAAAATGATTCTCAGTTTTGTAAAGGAATTTGATTATAAAAAGTTACAGTTGTTTAGTAGTCCCTTCACATTGGACAAACTGTGAGAGTGCACACACCAATAGTTCTTGAAATTGAACTCTACCTCAAAAAGTTGGAAAAGCCATTATAACAATGTTTTTTACTTATAAACAATTTTTCATTCCATATTCAACATACAGGTATTTTTTTTAAAAAAAAACCTGATTGAAACTTTTAAAATGACAGTATAACAGTAATATTACAGTACTATGGGCTCATTTTATCCTATATCACACCAAGCAAGAGTAATCCGAAATCAGAGTGAGGCAGCCTTGTTGCCATGCTATCCACTTAGTAATTACCAATCTGCTCCACTCAGGACTTTCACTGGATCCTTCTGCATTCCTTATGATGGAATAATTAGAGTGTTTTGTTCTGGCCCAGCACAACCTTGGCACTTTCTCAGGTCTACCAAGTTATTTTTTCACTGGCACTTCATAGACGGACCTCATTTTTTTGACTCCAGTTTAGTTGTTCAGCTTCTGATAACAATAGTTTTGACGTAGATCCCATGGATCTCTCTTTGAGATGTGCTGAGTTTTCATTATGAAAATACCATGTTTTCTTTTGTATTGCCCGGTCCTCTCCATCCATTAGTATCACAGTATCCAAGTTAAATAACATTCCATCAAACTACTGGACTGAATATCTAAAGAACTTTGGACGTGAAGCCTCTGAACCATATGTTTAATTTTTCTTCCTATTTCATAGAATGATAAGCTCTTGGCAATCTAGTTTGCTGTTTTTAAAGCATTCTGTTTCTGTCTAGTGTAACTATTGTGTTTTGCACATATGATCACTGTTAGGGTTCATAAAAATATCACTACTGATAAGATTTGTTAAGTATTATTACTGTCATCACACACAAATAACTTTTTAAGACTAAAGGACCAAATTATAACTGGGGACATCTTAATGTGCAAATGTGTTTGCATTTTTGCATGAGGGATATTTAGGAATGTATTATTTTCCCCCACTGATTATCCAAAGCATTTCATTAAGTAAGTGTAGTTTGTATGGAGTGATAGAATTTTTATTAATTGTTTTAAAAAAGAGATGTATAAAAATTTAGTTTTGTATTTGTGTTTCGATAAAAAAGTTGTATTTTGGTATACAATAAATCCTTGTTCTTCCCTACATTTCAGTACATACTTGAATCTGCGTTCTCCCATTGTGTATTACGATAAGTAATAATAAGACTTTATTTGTAACCCGCCCTCTCTCCCTGAAGGGTCTCAGGGTGCTTTGCAGAAATAACAAAAATGTCAAACATTGAGTGACCAAAAACAGATAAACAACAATCAATGAATAATGAATTAAAATAAACTCAGTATAACTTATAAATAGCTGAAGCCAATGGTTAAGCTAAATAAACATAATAAATAACAAGGAGACAAACCAATTAAAACAATATACATTAAAAGCATAATATAATATATTGTGTCAGCAGGCTAAGGAAGTATCCAATGTTAGGCGAGGATGTATGTAAGGGATACCAATCCTCCTCTCCACAGGCTAGATTACACATATGGGTCTTTTAAGAGCCTTCTAAAGAAGAGGAGGGATAGCAATTTTCAGTTCTTTAGGGAGGAAGTTCCAGAGGCGGGGAGTGGCCACAGAAAAGCCCCCCCCCCCATTCCCATCAACGGTGCTTTTAACAGGGATGGGACCGAGAGCAGAGCTCCTTCTGTGGACCACAGTGCTCATGCTGATTTGTATGCGGAGATGTGCTTTTTCAAATAGTCTGGGCCTGAACCGTTTAGGACATATTACAATTCAAAGGCATAGTTTTATACACTTAAATTGCCATGAACTGTATTGTAAGGTTCAAATCTGACTGTACAGATGAAATTCCAATCTTTAAATTAATCCAAGAGGTGCAGGTTACCACTTTTATAAGAAATCGCAAAGACTGGTTAAGATCTCTAATTTTAGTTCAGAAATGAAACCTCAAACACATGAAATTCTTTTTCAAAATCAGTTTTTAAAAAAGAACATCCCTGAGCCATTAAGTCTGATATCTTCTGAAATTGGAAATAAATGTTACTTTTCTCCTTCTTTCTCTAAGTTTATATCATGAACTGAAAAATTGGCCATAATTCTGTCCAGCTCATATGGGAATTTTTCATTTTAAAGCAACCCAGTTCCTATTTTGTGATTTTCCAGGGTCTACATATGTGTCATTTTCCTATTTTATTTTGTCTTTTCATATTAGAGAATGTATGCTTTTGACAAAATAATTTGTCCTTATGAATAAGATTACAATGTGGACTCGCCTTGTTTACAAGATTTTTAAAGCGAACCTCCTTAGAATGGCATTTTGTCTGAAGCCTAAGTCAATGATACAAATGTATACAGAACGTTTCTTCAAAATGAATTGAAAATTGTTCAAAATGAATGAATGTAACATATTGACTTTTGACCAATTCAGCAAATTTCCATAGGATAATTTATTCAAATTTTTGTGCTATTTTAATAATAATAATAATAATAATAATAATAATAATAATAAGAAGAAGAAGAAGAAGAAGAAGAAGAAGAGGAATGACACAAGCCAGTAAAGGTGGTCCCAGTGGTGATCAGCACACTGGATGCAATGCCTAAAGGCCTTGGCCTGCACTTGAACACAATTGACGCTGACAAAATTACCATCTGTCAGCTGCAAAAGGCCATCCTACTGGGATCTGCACGCATTATTCGTTGATACATCACACAGTCCTAGACACTTGGGTCGCCAATTGGCTGAGAAGGGCGATATACAAATACAGTAAATAAATAAATAAAATAAGTGTCCAATGTGTGATCCAATACAACAACCAGCATAGTGATTTTGTTTGCTGTGTACTAATCTTGTTGTGTTTCTAATAATAATAATAATAATAATAATAATAATAATAATAATAATAATAATAATAATAATGATCCACTGGAACTTGTGCCAAAAATACCATCTGCATACCAAAACAAAACAAAACAAAAAAACACTAGTGGGATCACAAGCCTGAAAAGGTTACACAAAATGAACAGTCAGACTATTCTGGGACTTCCAAATTCAGGCTGACAAAGTTTTGGAGCACAATACTTCTGATCTCACGATTGTGGGGAAAAAAACCAAAGTATGAATTATCGATGTTGCAGCAGAATTGACAAGAAGCAACTGGAAAAGCTAACACGATATGAAGATTTAAAGATAGAACTGCAAAGACTCTGGCACATGCCAGTAAAGGTGGTCCCAGTGGTGTTTGGCACACTGGGTGCTGTGCCTAAAGACCTTGGCCTGCACTTAAAAACAGTCGACGCTGACAAAATTACTGTCTGTCACCTGCAAAACCCCACTCTACTAGGATCTGCACACATTATTCACCAATACATCACACAGTCCTAGACACTTGGAAAGTGTCCAGCCTGTGATTGAATACAAAAACCAGCATAGTGATCTTGTTTGCTGTGTACTAATCTTGTTGTGTATCAAACAATAGTAATAATAATTTTGTTTCTTACTCACCTCTCCTCGAAGCAGGTTACAGAATAATTAAAACCCATACACATTGTAGAAATACTGCAAATACATGCAAATAAATGTATTTCTATAAAATAGTTATTAAAATACACAAACCAGAGATTAAACAAAGGACACATATTTAAAATCCATGCTTAAAAACTGGTTGGGCATTTTGTGTTCAGTCTCTTAACTGTAGTTGATGCTCAGTGAAGAAAATATTAAAATTCTCCCCTAATTTTTAAGTGATAGATATAATGCCGTATAGTTACATTTGATTTCTGTGAACTAGACATGATGAAACTTTCATTTCTTTTTGGTATGTGGTTCTTAAGTAGTTTCGCTAACCAAGGACTTTTTACATATATCTAGAAGGCAATGAACTTGATAGGTCTGCCTCTAAGTTAAGCAGAAGAGTAGGGCTGAAGCCCCGACCACTTTTGAAAAGTCATTGCGTAGCAGATACTACTTTGCAGGAAATGCAGAAATGTCAGAACAACTGAATTTGTCCCAACAGCTGAATAAGTAGGTCATTAAATAGCGTTTTGCCACAGTATGATACATGTTTTATGGTAAAAATTGAAAAACATTGAATGAAGCACAGAATTCCTACACAAACAGTGTGTGGTCAATGAATCATCAATTTTGAGACAGGTAAAAATGACGCTACTAACTTCTCGCACATTGAACCAGTTTCTGAACATACCCTTGTAACATGTCACATCATAATGTTTAGCTCAGTGTTTTCCATAACAGTTTTCCATAACCAGTTCTCCAGAAGTTACTTGGATTCAACATGTATTGTGCAATTTGTGCAGCTCTAGATGTGAACAGGATCCTTGGAGAGGTAAGAGCCACCCATTGTGTACTAGGCCCTCGTCCTTTCTAGCTTATTAAACAGGCCAGAGGAGGACTGGCTGAGTGGAGAAACTACTAATCCCTTTTTATGACAAGGCAGGGTCCCAACCTACCTGAAGGAAGACATTGTAAAGCCACTTTTGAAAAAAAAATGTCTTCTTCATATTTAAAATGAAGAACAATTTTAACCAACATAAACTTAACAATATTTCAGTAAAGACCCCAGGGGCCATCCAGTCCAACCCCCTTCTGCCATGCAGGAAAAAGCACAATCAAAGCACTCCCAACAGATGGCCTTTGTAATAATAATAATAATAATAATAATAATAATAATAATAATAATGCAGTGATGATGATGATGATGATGATGATGATGATGATGATGATGATGATGATGATAGCAAAAACCCTAGAGGCCACCCAGTCCAACCCCCTTCTGCCATGCAGGAACTGGAGACGGAGAGCCTGATTTTTGCAGCCCAAGAATAAGCAATTAGAACAAATGCCATCAAAGCCAGAATTGAAAAATTGACTACAGATTCCAAGTGTAGAGTGCAAAGAAGCAGACAAAATGATGGATCACGTACTCAGCTGATGTAAGAAGACGGACAACAAGTAGAGGCCTGATACTATTGCTCAGATGATCCCTGGAACTTTTTGCATGTGACAAAGAACTGGTGGGATTACAAGCCTGAAAAAGTTAGAGAAACCACGTCAAACTACACTGGGACTTCCGAATTCAGACTGAAAGAGTTTTGGAGCACAATACTCCTGACCTCATGATTGTGGAAAAAAACAAAGTATGGATTGTTGATGTTGCAATCCCAGCAGTATATCATCAACTAATCTTCCTCTTCTCCATATGCTAATGAGCAAAAGTAAGTTTCCAGTTGTTTTTTGAAGAAAACAAGGAGAGAAGGTAAGGGGCAGTCTTTATTTTTTAGGGAGGGAGTTCCAGAGGTGAGCTGCGATCACGGAGAAGGTCCCCTCTCTCATTCCCACCAGCCGTGTTTGGGATGGAGTTGGGACCAAGAGCAGGGTCTCCTCCACTGACACAGTGCCTAGGTTAGCTTATAGGAAGGGATACTGTTAGTCAAATAGCCTGGGCCCAAACCATTTGGGGCTTTATAGGTAATGATCAGCACTTTGTATTTAGCAATTGTACTTGCCATCTAGATTCATGATAAAGTCTGCCTTTTCTTTCACTGAAAATGAACCAGAAAGCTTAATCAGATGTATATCTGATAAATAACGAGAAAACTATAGAGCAGCAGAAAAGAATTTAGGAAGAGCAGGTGCTAGTCCGATGCTGTCTTGCTCTGGCTTTTTTATTAGGAACACTTTCATCTAAAGCTGATCAGAATTGGTGGCACTTGCAGGCAGTATTGTCCCTATGTAAAGTTCTTCCTAAAACCAAACCTCACTGCCAGAACGGTGCTATCTCAAGAAATAGATGAAAGCATTTCACCACACGGAGGACCAAATGCGTATAGTTTCCACAAGGTGGTTTAGGTGGCTCTTTGCAAAATGTAATGGCAGTGTAGAACCTCGTAAATGAGCGCACAGACTAAGCCTTCTTGAAAATATGACTGCTTTTAATTGAAGCACCACCTTTTCATTAAATTTATGAGAGGAATTCAGTGATTTTGTTAAAAATACTTAGTTTAAGCTACTGTTTTATCCAGGGACTCATATGTGCCCTGTGATTGAGAGAGAGGTTCTTTGTAGGCTTGGATTCACAAGCCACTCTAAACACCTTCGCAGAAGCATATAAGAAGCT